TTTAAAGGGGTTGCTAGTTTTTCAAAATGGCACTTCCACTGTTCTCTGATTTCATTAGCATCTGTAATTAAATGGCCGTCGTCGGCAAGCACTGGATTAACTGATTTCTTTGATGATCTTCTATGTTTATTGACCAGATACCAGTAAAAACGTTGATCAGACTGTTCTGATGTATACAATTTTTCTAATTCCTCTCTTTCATACTCAAGTTGTGCAGCTTGATAGGTTTTTGAAAATATTTTCTTTGACTCTTTATATTGTTTTCTAACATCATTTGAAGGATCACGTGATCTACCCTGAGACACCCATTTATGCCACTTTGCCTTTTTATCTTTAGCCAATGATGTCAAAGTGGAGTTCCAAAAGGGCTTAACATATTTCAGGAATTTCCTCTTTGGTATATGAGCATTTGATGATAAAATTAAACTCTCTACTATTCTATTGATAAAATGATCAATTTCTGCTGCGTTTAGTGTCCGACTGGACAAAATAGAACGCAGTTCAAGTAAAATATCGTTACATTTCAATGTAACCGAATTAGTGTACGAGTCCTTTATTTCATTACAGTTGGGTTTGTTCCAAGCAAATCCTTTTGGGGCTTCAATATCTGGACAACGTTCTATTTGAGCATTTAAATTTAATATAGTTTGAATTGGAAGATGATCTGACGTGTTGTCAGGCTCATCTTCCAGGACTGTACACGATAAAACACATTCACGCAAAGTGTAAGACAAAATGACATGATCAATATAGCTAACATGAAGAGCATTGTTTCGAGTCATTTCAAATGTGTGTCTTGGACCACGTGCTAAATCTGTCATATCGATTGCAGTTAAAAGATTTCGTTGCATAAAATCATACAATTTGATACCATTAGATGAGGGATTACCATGACCCCTACAACCCGTAAACGTACCCAAATTACTGTTTACATCGCCAAGAATTATAACACTGCCATCTATGCTAGCCTTTTGCACAAAGTGTTCGAGTGAGAATAAAACATCATCGTACATGTCAATTTCACAATTTTGTTGAGGTAAGTAAACAGAAAATATGTAAATAGGCGCAGTTTGCACTATTGATACCTTTAGACAAACGATCCTGTCTGTTGACATATTTTTAACAGGAATAACATAATTGCTCAACGAATCACGCCAGAAAATAGCAACACCACCATTTCCCCATATTTTACCACAGTTAAAATCGTTTAGATTCTTGCTACTTGTGCTGTAACACCGAAAGTCCGAGTGCACGGAGTCAAGCTTAAATCTATTACAGGGATAGAGTTTGTGCTCTGAGAGCGCCAAGATATCGCATTGTGACAATAAATGTTTAATATATAGAGTAGATACATTGAAACCTGGGCAATTCCATTGTGCTAGTCTTAACTCACTATTACCTTGATTGTTAAAAACTATGATCTGTTTATTGAATAAAGCAGAAAATAAAATGAGAAACAGCAAGTGTTTTAGATTTTCACACATATTAAACAGCCTGTTGTCGATCAGTTTCGTCAAACGCGAAGCAGTCTGATGCATAGTCATCATCAGTTTTGTATGGATCGTATTGTGCATGATAGCCACGCGCATTAGAATAAGTGTGCCCTGTGAAGACAGGAATTGCATTTGCACGTAGGTAAGTAGAATTTTTATTAGACTCCAGATTGAAAATCTGGAGTCTATTGCTTTTGCCTGTATTCTTATTATTCTTATTATTCTTATTAGACTCCAGATTGAAAATCTGGAGTCTATTGTTTTTGCCTGTTTTCTTTATTATTATTATTATTATTATTATTTTTCTTTCTTTTTTCTTCCTCCTCACCAAATTTCTCGTCAACTATAACAGCTTACTTAATCCAACTTACATGGTTAACTAAAGACTGAAACCGGCTTTCTGGGAAATTAGGTCAAATTTTTATCTAGGTCAAAGGTCAAGAACTAGGTCAAATCTTACATTTTCAACATTCTTCATCATATCTTCGTCAATATTTTTCGTAACTCCTCCATCTTTTTTTCATCGTGTAGCTTAGAAAAAGGCGAATCAAAGATATGACATCAGAATTTTGATTACTCTTACCGATTTTGAGATATGGCGTCCGAAATGTAGGTCACGCCTAAACATGCTCCAAATCGAATGTATGAGCTATGAAAAAGAGGTAGAATTTTCTCAGGAATCCAAATCTGCAAACCAAATATGGATCGGACTTCCGGTTCGGAAGTTATGGCGTTTTGAAAGCTCAAAAATCGCTAAATTTGGTGCCTATGTTAAGTCAATGGGAAAAAAGACTTTTTCGAAGTGTAAAATACAGGATATTGACTGAGTACAGCTTAACATAATGAATGCTTATAAAAGAAAGGGACCTCAAAAGCTACATAGCTTCAAAATTTGGACACCAAAATGCCTAGGTCAAAATCAAGGTCAAATTCATAGTTTTTCCTTATTTTTACGATTCTGACACTACACTTTAATAATTTACTTCAAAATTTTGTATACAGGTAGCAAAGAGTGTGCTAATAGTGTTAGCCTTTTGCCGTCAGAAAGTATTTTGACCCACTTTTGAGATATGGTGTCCGAAAAGTAGGTCAAAATAAAAAATTCTCTAGATTCAACGTATGAGTTATGAATTAAGGGTAGAATCTTCTCAGGAATCCGAATCTGCAAACCAAATTTCGATCAGACTTCCGGTTCAGAAGTTATGGCGTGTCCAAAAAGTAGGTCAAAATAAAAAAATTCCAAATTTAACGTATGAGTTATGAATTAGGGGTAAAATTTTGTCAGGAATCCGAATCTGCAAACCAAATTTCGATCCGACTTCCGGTTCGAAAGTTATGGCGTTTTGAAAGCTCAAAAATCGCTAAATTTGGTGCCCCATGTTATGTCAATGAGAAAAAGGATTTTTTGAAGTGTAAAATACCAGATGTAGACTGAGTACAGCTTAATATTCTGAAAGCCTATAAAAGGAGGGGACCTCGAAGGCTATCTAGCTTTAAAATTTGGACGCAAAAATGCCTTGGTCAAAATCTAGGTCAAATTCATAGTTTTTCCTTATTTTTGCGATTCTGACATTACACTTTAAGGATTTGCTTCAAAATTTTGTATACAGGTAGCAAAGAGTGTGCTTATAGTGTTAGCTTTCTGCCGTCAGAAAGTTTTTCGACCCACTTTTGAGATATGGTGTCCGAAATGTAGGTCAAAATAAAAAATTCTCCAAATTTAACGTATGAGTTATGAATTAAGGGTAGAATTTTCTCAGGAATCAGAATCTTTAAACCAAATTTCGATCTAACTTCTGGTTAGATAGTTATAGCGGTTTGAAGTCTCGAAAAGTCGATATGATGATATCCCCATGTAAGCCAATAGAGTCGAAGATAGCCTTCCTTAAAGTTGTCTAAATGTCTATATTCTAGCTGACTCAGCTTATTCTGAATGACTCAGCTTACAAGTTCTGGATGACTCAGCTTAAACAAAGTTTGAAATCTGGAGTCTTAAATTGAACTTGTTCAATTTACATGTCTAGTTATTCTTATTAGCACATTTTCTCAGTAACTAGAAGACTTGGAGTAAATCTAATTACATGGTCAGTTAGGGTATGTGACCTAGTTTCTGGGAAATTAGGTCAAATTTTTATCTAGGTCAAAGGTCAAGAACTAGGTCAAATCCAGTACTTTGTCACTTTTTTCGATTTTCTCGGTCGTCCTTCAATATTTTCGATCCGTTTTTTTTTCATTGTGTTCCTTATAAAAAAGTATGAAAGCTAGGGTCGATTTAGTTTTTTGATATCTCAAACCGATTTCGAGATATCAGTGTCCCAAAACGAGGTCCAAGAAAAAGTTCTCCAAATCAAATGTCCAGGATATTAGTCTTATAGGAAATTTTCTCAGGATTCCGAATCTGAAAACGAAATTGTGATCCGACTTCCGGTTCAGGAGTTAACACATTTTGAAATTTCAAAAAAATGATATGATGGTACCCTGATGGCATGTCTACCTGACCGTTAATTTTCTCATTTCTCATTAATATCAAAGTTCAAATTAAGGTTTTAATAGACAATTTTCTCAGGATTCCGAATCTGAAAACAAATTTGAGATCCGACTTCCGGTTTAGAAGTTATGGGCTTCTCAAAAAAAATCCCACCGCTGCCACCAAATTGTAACAATCTCAACCCTTTCATTAATATCAGATCTCAAAATGGTTTTGAGATAAACAATCTAAATCTGGAGTCTTGAATTGAACTTGTTCAATTTCTCCAATCTAGTTATTATATCTTGTTCGTTTTTCCCATCTTCGGCAACCTATAGCGGCGTCTGGCCAGAAATTTTCGCCAAGTATTAGGGTTACTTGATCATTGGGAATATAAATTTTGCATCCAACCTTATCATCGCAAACTCGGTTATGTACGATATCTGCTTTCATGACACGTATGCCTCTTTGTTTAACATACGCAACTATCGTGGAACGGAGGTCCTCATCGCTAACATTTCCATCTTTACGAATGTTGCTGACGTAGACGAAAGCACCTTCGACTTCTTGGATCCCCTTTAAGGTAATCGTCTTCCGGCGTTGTTGCGAAGGGTTATATTTACCGTGGCCTTGTAGTCGGGGCTCTTTAGGTTGAGTTGGTGGAGGGGAATGGCGACCTTTAGGGCCAGCAATGGACCAATCATCTATGTTTTCACTTACTACGCTAGAATAAGTGATAGGTTTCGTTACATTAGGCACTGGTTGCACTAACTTTGCAGACGGCGGTTGCGAGGTGATTTTCAAAGATGGCGGTATAGCGACAGACTCGCATGGCTCAGTAGGCTTACGTAGTGAGTTTTGCTTATTAGCGGGGTCGCTTATAGGCAAAGTATTGTTATTGAGGTGTGAAACAGTTATTGGCGTGTTAGTCGAATTATTGGTCTCATTATTGGCCGGCTTAGAATTTAGCGTGGATGAAGTTTGCGTTGGTACAGTTACAGTAGCGCTTGTTTGTGTACGTTTAGAAAAGTCACACTGACCTGCTTGTAGCAACCTTTGTACCTGTTGCTGAAGCTCTACGTTATCCTTCTGCATCTTTGATATCTGCTCATCCTTCGAGTCTCCCATACGTTCCAATTCACTTACCCGCTGGCTAAGACAAACAACCCGTGTGTCGATTTCAATTGAGCCCGTCGACTGATCTGTGATTGTATTAGCTTCAGAAGAACCCAGATTCGGTAGAAAACTTGTCGCAGAGATCGTCTGACGTGGGAAAGTGTCCGAAATGTTCGAACCATACATATATAGATCACAAATGTCATTCAAAAACAAGACATCCTTATTCACTCCCTTTCGTGCTTTTAGTGTCAAGATCGGAATTTCGTTTTGCTTTCGTCCAGCAATGGGGCCGAATTTGTCCAAGTAAATGTTGAATAATCTTTCTTTCGCATATTCAAAATACCGAATCCTCAATGGTTTGTAATCCTCAGGCGTGGTTACTTCCAGGAACTCATTGATAATAGTGTCTCTGTCTTCTTCTGATAATCTTGACAGAATCCTTTGAATGTGATCGGTATCGGGCGGAGCTGCCATAATACACGTCTGCTCTACTCGAGCTCTACACGTTAATCATATTTTCTCTTTTCTGATTTTGTGTTTCCAAATGTTTTCTGATATAATCTGTATCTTTAATCATATAATATCGTTGCTTATTTATTGTTTTCAACTTTTTCAATGCATCCTCACAAATTTTGGTCACACTTTCTGCTTCATCATTTAGTGTTTCAAACTGTTTCAGTTCTTACGCCATATTGTATAGTTCATCCACTACTTTGTTGAACTGTTTCCTTCTGTAAACTCTCTAAGTCATCCCTCGTTTATGATTGAGTGATTTTGAGCGTTCTATATTTTTCAGTATAGTGCTAGAAGCTCCGGACTGTTCAGCTCACCTGGATCTCTCTATCATCTTTCTCTTTATCTTCACCCTCCAGTTCATGTGTCAGTATTTCTGCATAACAAAAGAAATGAAATGAAATAAAAACAGTCAGTGTTCCACATATAGTTTAGTAGGAAGCAAGGGTTCCCATGCACCCGAGAGATATAAATTTTTTATTAGAATTTTTTATACCGACAGGATGTCTGCTTAAAGGATTTTGATGTTAACATTGCCATCTACTGAGCGAACTTTTCTTTGAGGTGTTACATACACCCCTAGGAAACACCCCTATTAGAGCCAATATTTTATATTTTTGTACATGAGAAACATGAAAATAACATTTATTAACACAATGAGAAACATGATTTATTAAGCTGCAATAAGAAGAAATAACAGACATGGTATCTAAAACGGATAAGCAAACTTCAGATCGGATAGTAAATAATAATTTTCCGAATTATGCGCCATCTATTATTAGTCAGAGACCACTGTGTGAAAATTGAATTCCAAGACTTGGCACGTCTAGATACAGCTTTTGACAACCCGGGTGTTTTGGTGTTCCTAGTTTTGACACCTCTTAGCACATGATGAGTCCCGCTTGACACACCTTTTTACCTCTTAGTACACACAGTGTAAAGACGTGCAAAGACCGGCATAACAAAACCTCTTTGCACGCGTTGAGACTTATTATTGAAATCACTTAACATTCTCTAAACAGGTTCTTCGCACAATTTTATACAACATAGATATAATGTAGACTAATTACAAAACCAATATCTTAATAACGCAGATGCGAGTAGGTAGTTACCAGATTCACCACCAGGTGGCTCGTTCGGCTCAGATAGCATGGCGGGTATAGTAGAAAGTTCCCTTTAACTTAAATTACATCTATTTGCGTAGTTCAATTTTCATATAACCCTTATGTATATAATAGTTATGCAAATTAAAATATGTCCAGTAAAAGAAAATGTTATCTGTGCAATACAAGAAAAGATAATTCACTTTTTGTGATTTTCTAGCATGGGGTCTATGGGGAATCAACCCGAACAAGAAGTCACATTTTCAAAAAAATTAAATTTTCAAAGTTGATAGACAATTTTTGAAACCATATTTTTAGATGTACATTTACATGCAGATTTAAAATATGACATCGCTTTGACTGAATTTTGAATATTAATGACTTAAATCAAGATTATTTCTACTCGCATGTAGTCTATTCAAATCCATCATGGCAAAACAACATGTCCATCTGAATTGTATAGTTTTTCATTTATTTTATTTTATAGTTACTTGTGCGTGCATATTTATTTATTGTTTTAACATAAACCTCATACACATTTTAGCTATAATGCACATTTTAATTTTGATAATTCAGTCAAGTATATAAATTCATTAAGGTGTGGTCTGCCCCCCCCCCCCCCCCAATTTTCATTCCAATCAACAAACATAAAAGTTATTTCATTGATTCCCACGAATCTTTCTTTGATCAATAATCTAGGCAAACCAAATACTACTTACCGGATTTTCTCGCATATAAGCCCTGGGCGTATAACTGAAAGAAGGGGTAATTTCGTCTGTTATTTTACCTCTTATTTTTCACCCATGGGCATATAAGTGTACTACTTTCGATTTTTGGCCCAGTGGGCGTAAAGGTGAGAAGAGCTGATGAATACAATGGTTTAGTACTGGTAGGTGCTGGTAAGATTTTTGACGGTTGCGAGCCACCGCGGGGAGGGCATCAGCCATCTTCCTCAAAGACTACCGTACCTACTGTTGTAGTCCTACCGCATGTTTTGTAAGAATTATAAAGGAAATGTCACCTACAACCTTGGACCTAATGTTGAAACAAAGTAACGACAGAACGATCCACCACTGCCACTTACGGCACAGCGTTGAACTTATGTTGAAACAAAGTAACGACAGAACGATCCACCACTGCCACTTACGGCACAGCGTTGAACTTAATGTTGAAACAAAGTAACGACAGAATGACAGTGACAAAATACTCTTGAATTTATTGAAAAAAATCAATAAATAGTCATTTTTTATAGGCCCATGGGCGTATAAGCGTACTACATTCGATTTTTGGCCCATGGGCCTAAATTAAGAGGGGCGTATATGCGAGAAAATCCGGTAACTGTCTCATTGCAATTACACGTTTCTTACGTAAACAGGATACAGCTCCGAGGAGATGACCTTAATTCACAGACTAGTTGTTTTATTCATATTTCACATTAGTTTTGTACTTTAATGTTACTGAAATATTTGTGATTAAATAATTTTTATTGCACCCTAAGGTGCTATATTGTAATCAGTTTGCCGGGCGGGCGGACGTCCCGTATAATCTTGTCTACAGGTTTCCAGCCAAACCGTTTGAGGGATTCATTTGAAATTCTCAGGGATGTTTCTACCTATGAAAGTTTAGAACTAATTAGTTTTTTGGCATTCTGGGTAAATGTTAAGGCGGCCATTTTGGATTTCCGTCCTAAAATCTTGTCTATCAAGGCTTGTCTACAGGTTTCCAGCTAAACCGTTTGAGGGATTCATTTGAAATTCTCAGGGATGTTTCTACCTATGAAAGTTTAGAACTAATTAGTTTTTTTGGCATTCTGGGTAAATGTTAAGGCGGCCATTTTGGATTTCCATCCTAAAATCTTGTCTATCAAGGCTTGTCTACAGGTTTCCAGCCAAACCGTTTGAGGGATTCATTTGAAATTCTCAGGGATGTTTCTACCTATGAAAGTTTAGAACTGATTAGTTTTTTGGCATTCTGGGTAAATGTTAAGGTGGCCATTTTGGATTTTCCGTCCTAAAATCTTGTCTGTCAAGGCTTGTCTACAGGTTTCCAGCCAAACCGTTTGAGGGATGGATTCATTTGAAATTCTCAGGGATGTTTCTACCTATGAAAGTTTAGAACTGATTAGTTTTTCGGCATTCTGGGTAAATGTTAAGGTGGCCATTTTGGATTTTCCGTCCTAAAATCTTGTCTGTCAAGGCTTGTCTACAGGTTTCCAGCCAAACCGTTCATGGGATTCATTTGAAATTCTCAGGGATGTTTCTACCTATGAAAGTTTAGAACTGATTAGTTTTTCGGCATTCTGGGTAAATGTAAAGGCGGCCATTTTGGATTTTCCGTCCTAAAATCTTGTCTGTCAAGGCTTGTCTACAGGATTCCAGCCAAACCGTTTGAGGGATTCATTTGAAATTCTCAGGGATGTTTCTACCTATGAAAGTTAAGAACTAATTAGTTTTTTGGCATTCTGGGTAAATGTTAAGGCGGCCATTTTGGATTTTCCGTCCTAAAATCTTGTCTGTCAAGGCTTGTCTACAGGTTTCCAGCCAAACCGTTTGAGGGATTCATTTGAAATTCTCAGGGATGTTTCTACCTATGAAAGTTTAGAACTGATTAGTTTTTCGGCATTCTGGGTAAATGTTAAGGCGGCCATTTTGGATTTTCCGTCCTAAAATCTTGTCTGTCAAGGCTTGTCTACAGGTTTCCAGCCAAACCGTTTGAGGGATTCATTTGAAATTCTCAGGGATGTTTCTACCTGTAAAAGTTAAGAACTGATTAGTTTTTAGGCATTCTTGGTAAATGTTAAGGCGGCCATTTCGGATTTTTATCCCATCGAACGAAGTTCAGAGGGATATAGGGAATGCCTCCGTCCATCCGTCCGTCTGTCCGTCCGTCCGTCCTTCCGTCAACAATAGTGGCACGTTTTAAAACCTCTGTTGATAGGATTCATGTTTTAAATTATTTCTGTTCAACATCAATACAGTAAACTCCCCTATGACTCCTGGTTCAAAAGCTTGCCTATTTTCAAAATGGCAACCATTTTTGTCTTGCAAAATTCACTTTTGATCTATTTCCTAGCTTTACAAATAATTTCAGGTGTCCTACATTGTAAAAATCCATGTGAATGTAAAAAGTAGATATATGAAATAATTTTGTTTCAAAAAATCAGCGAAAAATTATATCCATTTTTTATTTTCAGCCATTTTAGTTAACATTGATTTGTCCATCTGACTCGCGAAATCCACTTTTCCGTCAACAACAGTGGCACGTTTTAAAACCTCTGTCAATAGGATTCCTGTTTTTAGTTATTTCTGTTCAACATCAATACAGAAAACTCCCCCCCGACTCCTAGTTCAAAAGCTCGCCTATTTTCAAA